TATGTGCCTTCGTGCTTAGAAAAAGTGGTTACCAATTTAGCGTACTTGGTACTGTATTATGGGCGAGCATATGGCCGTCCTGTGGGCCTCATACTTGATGGGGCCATGTCGTGTGTGTGTGTGTTTTGAAAAAGTGGTTAACAATATTTCGTACTAGGTACTCTAATATGGGAGAGCATAAAGCCGTCCCGTGCACAACCAGAGGAGATCGCTCTAGGGTAGTGCCTACTGCTGGAATCTCAGTTACTAAGCTTAACAATATGTAAACACAATAACAGAAAAATAAAACCGTGTGTATCGTATCATAAATCGTGGACCTCCTATTTTATTCTGGTTAACAGCCTTTCATTTATTTTTGTTAATATTTCATTTGGTCATAAGCTTTGATTGATGGGTGGCTAAAGGTCAATGTTTTGGCGGTTTTGTGCCCTTTTATTTTGCATGTTCTGCTTAACAACGTTTTGAAAACCACCGTGTTGTTCATAGATGCATCGCTTTCTACACATTCTGTAGACGCAGGGTGGCGTTTTATGGATAGAGGGAAAGCATGAGGCCTTAGGGTGCCTCGCCTCTAAAAAAATTGGCAGATCCCTCGTACAGCGGGAATCAATGACACGCGAAGCACGAATGAGAAACGTTTATATGTCAGTTCAAAATCAGAACAACGTTACGAGGTGGAAGTTAATTAAGCCGTACTTAACTTCCATGTCATAATTATTATGTTTGGACGACTCATTTACCTTCATCATCTATTCACGCCACTTTTCACCAAATTCGGTATATTTGGAGCTAGCGAAACGGCCGCAAGCGGGCTATGAGCGTAGCATGTCGTCATGTTTTACATGACACGCCTATCATGATTATTGTGTTCGGACGTGCCATTTGACTTCGTCGTCTATTGATGTCATGCAATACCAATTTGGTATATGTGAAGCTAGAGAACCGACTGCGAGCACATCATGAGTGCGACATGTGGTCGTGTTGTTGCATGACACGAATCTCATGGTTATCATGTTTGCACCAGTCACATACCTTCGGCGTGCATTCTCATCCCGTATTGCCAAACTTGGAATATACCAAGCTAGCGAAACGACAAGGAGAGCATAATGAAGGGCCCAATATACTGCAACGTAACGTTGACGAGCCCACGCTGGGCACAGCCACGCTACGCTAGCAAGACACGAAGACTCTATAGTCTACCGCCAGATGCGACCAGCGTCTGTCGGCGAACCCGGTGGCATACAGTGCGAAAAGCGACAATCTTCATTTCGCACCAACCAGGTTACCCAGAATGCACCATGTCTGCCTAGCTTCGCTAGGAAGGGACACCAGGCGGGCTCAAACGCGCATGCATGAAAGCAACGCAGTGTGGCACGTGCCTACGTGTATATATGCCTGGCAGATCGGTGCCTGCCGTGGCATCGCCGGCATGACGCGACAAAACGAACGCTGGAGCACACGCGCACCGGGTCACGTCTAAGTGTATGTGGCCTTGAGCGTGGCATGTAGTCATGCTCATACATGACACGCATCTAATAATAAATATGTTTGCACCAGTCACAAAACTTTGTCATCCATTCACGGTACGTAATGACAAATTTGGCATATATGAATCTAGCAAAACGGCCCCGAGCAGACGTCAGGCAAGTATTCATGTTGTTAAATGACACGCATGTCATGATTATCATGTTTGGACATGTCATTTAAATATGTCGTCCGTTCGCGTCATGTAATACTGAATTTGGTACATGGGAAGCTAGCGAGACGGTCGCGAGCGCATCATGGCGTAGTATGTAATCATGATGTTACATGACACGCATCACATGATTATCATGCTTGCACCAGGTACATCCATTTGTCGTGCATTCACGTGCCGTAATACCAAATTTGGTGTATGTGAAGCTAGCGAAACGGCTGCGAGCGCATCATGAGCGTGGCATGTAGTCATGCTCTAACATGACACGCATCTGACTATCATGTTCGCACCATTCATATACCTTCGCTGTGCATTCACGTCTCATAACACCGACTCTGTATACTCGAAGCCAGCCAAAAGACTGCGAGCGTACCATGAGCACTACGTGTAGTCATTATCATGACTTACATGACATGCATTTCATGATTTCCACGTTAGGGCCTGTCGCTCGTGTTTGCATGCAATCATGTCCTACCATACCAGTTTTGCAACATGTCATGAGAACGAGACCACCGCAAGAGCAGCAAGACCGTGAAGTGTAAATCATGATATTCATGACATACATGTGATGGTTTTCATGTGATGACTAGTCAAATATTCCCGTCATACAGTCATGTTATGCCATACCAAGCTCGGTATTGATACTATTATCCAAACGGCCAGGAGAGCTAAAAGTCATAGGCGACGATAGATAGATAGATAGATAGATAGATAGATAGATAGATAGATAGATAGATAGATAGATAGATAGATAGATAGATAGATAGACAGACAGACAGACAGACAGACAGACAGACAGACAGACAGACAGACAGACAGACAGACAGACAGATAGATAGATAGATAGATAGATAGATAGATAGATAGATAGATAGATAGATAGATAGATAGATAGATAGATAGACACGCTCAAAGTCATTGAAGCTCGAAAAGAAATGCTTCGCATTTAATAAAAAAGGTGGAGGGGGCACTGCAATACTATCAAGCGTATCCGCGTAGTGGGTAATCTTGAACTTCATACTTACACACAATCGTTACAGAGCTAAGCTGTTAAGTACAGCACAAGATAAAGCCAACTATCCATTCTGGTGAGGTAGAATAACGGTGAATAGCAACGACATCGCGTTCCAGATTCCGTATCTCAGCAACATGGCCTCCACAATGGTGGGCATGCGACGGGTTTTTCTAAACACGCCATGCTGTTTTTTATCTCGGAGGCCATGCTTAGTATCTGATAATTTTCTTGCGTCTTGCGCGACGCGGCAGCACATCCTGCGCAATACCGTGTAGCAAAACGGCGCGTGAATTCAATGCTCAGTCGCAGGCTATCGTGTAGACCCTAGTGGTGGAACAATATTCGGAATTTTTGAATAGCGATTCCAATAGCGGTGTATTCTATTCGGTGCTTGAATTTTATAGGGAATATTAGATAAACCGAATACGTTTCGAGTATTTTGCAATAAGCAGGCATGAAAAAAATCATAGCATATCTACGGAGTTAATGATGATGAGTGGAGCGAAGCTTCAGAGGATTTTATTTGCAAACCGTGAA